CTCCTGACCTCAGGTGATCCACCCGCCTCAGCCTCCAAAAGTGCTGGGATTACAGGCGTGAGCCACCACACCTGGCCTGATTACTCTTTTATTTTATTGTAGAGATGGGGTCTCACTGTGTTGCCCAGGCTGATCTTGAACTCCTGGCCTCAAGCAATCCTCCTGACTCAGCCTCCCAAAGTGCTGGGAATACGTGTGTGAGCACCATGATCAGCCAGAATAGGTAACTTTTATTATTATTATTATTACTTTTTTTTTTTTTTGAGATGGAGTCTCACTCTGCCGCCCAGGCTGGAGTGCAGTGGCCGGATCTCAGCTTACTGCAAGCTCCGCCTCCTGGGTTTACGCCATTCTCCTGCCTCAGCCTCCCGAGTAGCTAGGACTACAGGCGCCCACCACGTCGCCCAGCTAGTTTTTTTGTATTTTTTAGTAGAGACGGGGTTTCACCGTGTTAGCCAGGATGGTCTTGATCTCCTGACCTCGTGATCCGCCCGTCTCGGCCTCCCGAAGTGCCGGGATTACAGGCTTGAGCCACCGCGCCCGGCCACTTTTATTTTAAAAAATATTTTGTAGTTTTTTTCTGAGATGGAATCTTGCTGTGTCACCCAGAGCTGGAGTGTAATGGCACAATCTCAACTCACTACAACCTCCACCTCTTGGGCTCAGGCAATTCTTCTTCCTCAGCCTCCTAAGTAGCTGTATTACAGGTGCATGCCACCATGCCTGGCTAATTTTGTATTTTTAGTAGAGACGCGGTTTCACCATGTTGGCCAGGCTGGTCTCGAACTCCTGACCTCTTGATCAGCCCACTCCAACTCCCAAAGTGCTGGGATTACAGGTGTGAGCCGGTGTGCCCAGCCTATAGTATTTTTAAATAGAGATGTGATCTCAACATGTTGCCCAGGGTGGTCTTGAACTCCTGGGTGCAAGTGGTCTTTTTGCCTAAGCTTTCCAAAGTGCTGGGATTACAGGCCTGAGCCACTATTCCCAGTCTAGAATCTTATAGCATAGAGATAAATTAAGAATTTAGAAAAAGTAGGAACATGCCCCAGTACAGTATATGACAGTCATAATCTACATATAAATATCATTCAGGGCCGGGCATGGTGGCTCACACCCGTAATCCCAGCACTTTGGGAGACGGAGGAGGGCAGATCACGAGGTCAAGAGATCGAAACCATCCTGGCCAAAATGGTGAAACCCTGCCTCTACCAAAAATACAAAAATTAGCTGGGCGTGGTGGTGCGTGCCTGTAGTCCCAGCTCCTCGGAGGCTGAGGCAGGAGAATCGCTTGAACCCGGGAGGTGGAGGTTGCAGCGAGCTGAGACCACGCCACTGCACTCCAGCCTGGGCACAGAGCCAGACTCTGTCTCAAAACAAAACAAAAGCCGGGCGCGGTGGCTCACGCCTGTAATCCCAGCACTTTGGGAGGCCAAGGCGGGCGGATCACAAGGTCAGGAGATTGAGACCATCCTGGCTAACACTGTGAAACCCCATCTCTACTAAAAATACAAAAAATTAGCCGGGCGTGGTGGTGGGCGCCTGTAGTCCCAGCTACTCAGGAGGCTGAGGCAGGAGAATGGCGTGAACCTGGGAGGCGGAGCTTGCGGTGAGCCAAGATGGCGCCACTGCACCCCAGCCTGGGCGACAGAGCGAGACTCCCTTTCAAAAAAAAAAAAAAAAAAAAATCAGGGACAATAAGAAAAAAAAATTGCAAAGTTATTCAGACATAGCTCCATAACATATTAGTAAAGGTAATCAAACAGTCTTTTAAAATGATCCATTATGTCTCAGTTGAGCTTATCCAGGAATGCAAGGTTGATGTAACACTAGAAATAAATACTAGAAATCAGAAATAAATACAAAAACCACATTTATTTCACTTTTGATGGAGTCTTACTCTGTCACCAAGGCTGGAGTGTAGTGGTGCAATCTACAGTCAATGCAACCTCCACCTCCCAGGTTCAAGCGATTCTCCTGCTTCAGCCTCGTGAGTAGCTGGAATTACAGGTGCACAAAACGACACCCAGCTAATTTCTGTATTTTTAGTAGAGATGGGGTTTCACCATGTTGGCCAGGCTGGTCTCCAACTCCTGACCTCAAGTGATCCACCCATCCCTCCCTCCCTAAGTGCTGGGATTACAGGTATGAGCCACCACACCCAACCTGACCGCATTTATTTTAGAAACAAGTCCTTCCATGCATTCACTTGTTCAAGTTTTTTTGTTTTGTTGTTTTGTTTGCTTTTTTTTTTTTTTTTTTTTGAGATGTGGTCCTGCTACGTTGCCTAAGCTGGTCTAGAACCCCTGGGTTCAGGCCATCCTCCCAAGTAGCTAGAACTACAGGCATGCATCACCACATCATTTCATTGAAGTATTTATTATGTACCATCATGGACCAGGTACAGTTCTAGGTACTTGAGTATTAGTAAATAAACATGATCATCACAGAGGATGCACAGGAAGCAGTTAATAAATTCAAGAGGAATTCAGCCTCACAAATTATGAAACATTGGGAAATCATTCATCATGTAAAAACTGGACATAAAAAGAAACTTTCCCTGTAAGAGCCTCTTCAAAAAATAAGATAAAAACCTACAGCCAAGCCAATAAAATAGAGCACATATCTCAGCAGAACTGCAGACAATTATGCTGGTATTACTACTTTTAGTTGGTGTTGTGCTGGAGGTTGAAATGAGTCCAGTAAAGCAAGGAAAAAAATATATATGTATAACCTAACGACTAAAGTGGAAAAATAAGAGTCGTTACTTACAGATTATGTGATTGTCTATGTGGAAACGGAAAAGAATCATACCAAGTACTTTGGACTGAATGATAACCCCGAAAATTCATATGTTGAAGCATCAAATCCCAATGTGACTGTATGTGAAAATAGAGTCTTTAGGAAGTATCACGAAATGATGTCAAGAGATGGGTGGGGGGGAGGGAGGGGGAGAGAGAGATGGTGGGGAGAGAGGACAGAGGAGGAAGGAGAGAGGAGAAAGAGAGAGACCTATTTGCTGGTTTCCATTCTGTGAAGACATGAGGAAGTGGGCATTTACATACCAGGAAGGGAGCTCTCACCAGAAGCTGACCATGCTGGCACTCTGATCTCAGACTTCCAGCCTCGAGAAATGTGAGAATATAATGCTTTTTTTTTTTTCAGATGGAGTCTTGCTCTGTCACCCAGGCTGGAGCGCAGTGGCCAGATCTCAGCTCACTGCAAGCTCCGCCTCCTGGGTTTACGCCATTCTCCTGCCTCAGCCTCCCGAGTAGCTGGGACTACAGGCGCCCGCTACCTCGCCCAGCTAGTTTTTTTTTTTTTTTGTATTTTTTAGTAGAGATGGGGTTTCACCGTGTTAGCCAGGATGGTCTCGACCTCCTGACCTCGTGATCCACCCGTCTCAGCCTCCCAAAGTGCTGGGATTACAGGCTTGAGCCACCGCGCCCGGCAGAATATAATGTTTTTAACCTGATTTATTTACAATTAAATGAATTTGCAAGCCATTTGTTCTGTGGTATTTTGTTATGGTGGCCTGAGCTCATTAAGGCAGATTAAAAACAAAGAAACAACAAAACTAAAAATGTGAAGCAGCTTTGAAAGTGACAAATAAGGCCGGGCAGGAGATCGCTAACACGGTGAAACCCTGTCTCTACTAAAAATACAAAAAATTAGCCGGGCGCCGTGGTGGGCGCCTGTAGTCCCAGCTACTCGGGAGGCTGAGGCAGGAGAATGGCGTGAACCCGGGAGGCGGAGCTTGCAGTGAGCCGAGATCGCGCCACTGCACTCCAGCCTGGGCAAGACAGTGAGACTCCGTCTCAAAAGGCAAGACAGTGAGACTCCGTCAAAAAAAAAAAAAAAAAAAAAAAAAAAAAAGAAAATTAGCCGGGCGTGGTGGCGGGCGCCTGTAGTCTCAGCTACTCCAGAGGCTGAGGCAAGAGAACGGCACGAACCCAGGGGGCGGAGCTTGCAGTGAGCGGAGATCGCACCTCTGCACTCCAGCCTGGGGCACAGAGCGAGACTCCGTCACAAAAAAAAAAAAAAAAAAAAAAGTGACAAGTGAGTAGTGGCTGGAAAAAATTGTGATGTGCAAGCCGGAAATAAGGTTGGCAAGGGTGATTCTGGTGAGGTGTCATTGGGGAATGAGGAACATGCTATTGGGAAATAAGACAACCCTTGACATGAAGCGGTGAAGAACTTGGCAGAACTGTATTCTAGCATTTTGTGCAAGGTAGAGCTTGAGAGAGATAAAATTAGGTATTTATCACTAACATCTGTAATTAAAGTGTTAAAAGACACAGGAAGCTTCATTCTTCCTGACTGCTTACAGGGAAATCCAAAGAGGAGACTTGAACTGCAGAAGCAACTGTTAAGGAAAAAGGAACCAGAACCTGGAGATTTGGAAAATTCTCAGCCTATCCATACTGCAAAAATTAGAAAACTTGTGCTGAAGAGAATCCTGAAAGTGTGGCTGAACAATCATTTGATAAAGAGATCATGAGTGGGATTCATGGACTGTATCAGCCATCTTAAGAGGAGTGAGGACAGAGACTGGGTTATACTAGAAGAGACACTGCCACTTACATTGTGCCACCTAAAATACACATACAAGGCAGAACAGGCAAGGTTGTCACACTTCTTAGATTTTACAAGGGGACACAGAAACAATCAGCTGTGAAAGTGCACTGGCAGTTAAGGATGGTTTCATTCCTGCCATGCTCTGCAGGATCTGGGAAATAGAAGACACCCTTGGAGGAGCATCTCTTAACAACCCACCTCTGGGGTCCTACTTCATCTTGGTTTCTGGTAAATTTTGACATAAATGTGCCACACTGGCAGCCACTAATCAACAGGGGCTGGGATCAATCTGCATGATGTATTTCATACAGAACTTGTTAACGCTATGATTTTAGGAATCTAATCACCAAGGTGAGGCAGGCTTCAGTACTGACCTCACCATCCATGACCCTTCTTCACAGATGCCCAGACTCAGGCAACCATGAAGTTGTATTCAGAATCTGTAGGTTTAATTTCAGACCTTCAGGATGGCATCCAAAGCCAATCCATGAGCCATTACAACCTCCGCAAGGCATTTAGGACAAATCTGATAATCTTTGGTGTCATTGCTAATAATTAAAGATGGCAACTGATGGGCTAAATGGTGACACTCATACCCTTACATTCATAGGGTTTCTCCCCAGTGTGAATTCTTTCATGTCTACTTAGGCGTGAGGAAACAGCAAATGCTTTCCCACATTCTTTACATACGAAGGGTTTCTCTCCGGTATGAGTTCGCAGGTGAACATTAAGGCGTGAGGAATACAGAAATGCTTTCCCACATATCTTGCATACAAAGGGCTTTTCTCCACTATGAGTTTTCAAATGTTTACTACGACGGGAAGAAGTAATGAAGGTCTTCCCACATTCAACACATTCATAAGGCTTCTCTCCTGTGTGAATTCTTATATGTTGAATAAGGCTTGTGGATGTAGTGAAGGCTTTCCCACATTCCTTACACTGATAGGGTTTCTTTCCACTGTGACTTCGTATGTGTATAGAAAGGCCCGAGTACTGAGCGAAGGCTTGGCCACATTCCTTACATTCATAGGGTTTTATTCCAGTGTGAGTTCTTACATGTTCAGTAAGTTGAGTTGATCTAATGAAGGCTTTCCCACAGTATGTACACTTGTGTGGTTTTATTCCAGTGTGAATTTGAATGTGATCATTAAGGCATGAGGAATTTCTAAAGGATCTTCCACATTCTTTACATTCAAAGGACTTCTCTCCTTTATGAGTTTTCACATGTGCATAAAGTTGAGAAAAATTAGTGAAAGATTTCCCATATTTCTTAGTCTTTTTGGATTTCTTTCCTGTATGAACTGCTACACATTGCTTGAGGTGTGAGGAAGGTGTGATGGCTCTCTCACATTCCTGAAATTCACAGAGTTTCTCATCAGTGTGGATTCCCATGTGATTATCAAGGCTTGCAAAATACTTAAAGCCTTTTCCACATTCCTTACATTTGTATGGTTGTCTTGCATTGAGAACTTCAAGATGTACAGCAAGGCCTGGAGTTAAGGTGAAGACTTTTCCACATGGATTAAATTTGGAAAGTTCCTGTCCAATAGAGGCTTCCTTGTGCACACTGAGGATGTCTTTTTCATAACAATTACCCTCAGAAGTGTTCCCTCCATTCTGAGCTCTCATGTGTGTCTTAAGGCAAAACTGTTCACTGAAGACCTCTCCACAATTCTTACAGTCACAGAGTTTCCATCCACTGTAGTTTCTTGTCTGTTGATGACGGGATAAAGGTTTTAAAACATTTTCAGACATATAAAGAGATTTCACCCATCTGAACACAGAAACATTATTTTAATGACAATTATTATTTTACTTCTTAATGTTTATTTACTTTTTTTTTTTTTTTTTTGGAAAGAAAGTCTTGTTCTATCTCCCAGTCTGGAGTGCAGTGGCACACTCTCAGCAAACTGCAACCTCCACCTCCCATGCTCAAGTGATTCTCCTGTCTCAGCCTCCCAAGTAGCTAGGAATACAGGTGCCCACCACTGCACCTGGCTAATTTTTCTGTTTTGTAGAGACAGGGTTTTGCCAAGTTACCCAGGCTGGTCTCAAACTCCTGAGCTCAGGTGATCTGCCTGCCTCGGCCTCCCAAAGTGCTGAGATTACAGGAGTGGCCACCATGCCCCACCTCAGTTTATTTATTTTTGAGATGGAGTCCCGCTTTGGCTGGAGTGCAAGTGGCGAGATTTCGGCTCACTGTAACCTCCGCCTCCTGGGCTCAAATGATTGTTGTGCCTCAGCCTCGTGAGTAGCTGGGATTACAGGCACGTGTAGCCATACCCAGCTAGTTTTGGTATTTTTAGTAGAGACTGGGTTTCACCATGTTGGCCAGGCTGGTCTTGAACTCCTGACCTCGTGATCTGCCCGCCTCGACCTCCCAAATTGCTGGGATTACAGGCATAAGCCACCACACCCAGCCTCAATTTATCAGTATAAAGACAGGTTCCTGCTATGTAGCCTAGGTTGATCTCAAACTCTTCACAAAACCCCCCTGCCTCAGCCTCCCAAGGGGCTGGGATTACAGCCATGAGTTACCATGTCTGTCTACTTTGATAATTATAATTTTTACAATTTTTCTTCCTTGTTTTTATTTCCTGACTTCCTGATTTCTTCCAGATTGAATGATGGAAACTCTGGCTAGAATTCTATGCCACTGGCTCTAATTGTTAAAAAACAAACAAACAAACAAACTGTAGTTCTTTTTTTATTGTGGGGGGTGGTTTGAGACAAGATCTCACTCTGTCACCCAGGCTGGGTACCATGGCACAATCACAGCTCACTACGGCCTTAATCTCCCAGGCTGAAACCGTCATCCTGCCTCAGTCCCCCGAGGAGCTTGGATTACAGGTGCATGCCAACACACCCGGCTAATTTTTTATTCCTTGTAGAGACAGGGTCTCCGTTGTCCAGGCTAGTCTTGAACTCCTAGGCTCAAGCGATTCACCTGCCTCAGCTTCCCAAAGTGCTGGGATTATAGGTGTCAGCCATTGCACCCAACCAAATAGTGTAGATTTTCATGAAACTGTTTAAATCATCAATGTCTAGTTACTTATGTATAAGTCTAGTGACTTATATGTTACAATGTCTAGTACTTGTGGGTATTTTGAAGTGACAAGTTATACAGGAATGAAACATCACAAAATTCACCACATTCAGACTCTCTCTCCAGAGACCCTGTTCCCTCAATGGTGCAGGCTACTTCTCTAATTCTCTCAAGTATCTCTCATTTGTGCTGTTTCTTTTTCACTGCAACCTCCACCTCCCGGGTTTAAGCAATTCTGCCTCAGCCTCCCATGTAACTGGGATTATCAGTGTCTGCCACCACGTCTGGCTACCTTTGTATTTTTAGTAGAGATAAGAGTTTCACTACGTTGGCCAGGCTGGTCTTGAAGTGCCAACCTCAAGTGATCCACCTGCCTAGGCCTCCCAAAGTGATGGGACTACAGACTTAGTTTTTCTTTCTTTATTTCTGAGATAGTCTCACTCAGTGGCCCAGGCTGGAATGCAGTGGTGCAATCTCAGTTCACTGTAACCTCTGCCTCTGTGTTCATGCCATTCTCCTGCCTCAGCCTCCTAAGTAACTGGTACGACAGGTGCCCACCACCACACTCAGCTAATTTTGTATTTTCAGTAGAGACGGAGTATCACCATGTTGGCCAGCCTGGTCTCAAACTCCTGACCTCAAGTGATCCACCCACCTCAGTCTCCCAAAATGTTGGGATTACAGCTGTGAGCCACCACATTCACCCTCTTTTTAAAATCAGAGATGGGATCTTGCTATACTGCCTAGGCTGGCCTTGAACTCTTGGGCTCAAATGATCCTCCCACTTAAGCCTCCCAAGTAGCTGGGATTACAGATGTAAACCACACCTCTGACTGTGCTGATATTCTAGAATGGAACTCTCCATCTTTTCTAAGAGAGGAAATTAAGAAATATCCCTCGTGAATCTTACCATTTGTATCCCACTGAATATTTGATTCTTCAAAAAACCCTGCTGAAGTGATGACCGTTTGATTCTAGGTTGTATTTCCCATTCTGAAGTTAAGCAGAAAAAGAAATGTAAGCCTTTAGAGAAGAAATGTTAGTTTAACATGAGTCATTTTTACTTGTTTTCAAATTAAACACAGCAATAAAATAAAAGCCAGAGAATCTTGAGGATTTTGGTATGTCAAAAATTAGGCTATAATGATGTGGGGTTCATTACACAACTGATGTGTTTAGATAGTTTATTACAAACTACTTCTGTGAAAATTAAAACTGCTGGGAGCGGTGGTGGCTCACACCTGTAATCCCAGCATTTTGGGAGGCTGAGGCAGGTGGATTGCTTGAGATCAGGAGTTCAAGACCAGCCTGACCAACATGGAGAAACCCCATCTCTACTAAAAATACAAAATTAGCCGCACAAAACTGGGCGCGGTGGCTCAAGCCTGTAATCCCAGCACTTTGGGAGGCTGAGACGGGCGGATCACGAGGTCAGGAGATCAAGACCATCCTGGCTAATACGGTAAAACCCCGTCTCTACTAAAAAATACAAAAAAAAAAAAAAAAAACAACTAGCCGGGCGAGGTGGCGGGCGCCTGTAGTCCCAGCTACTCGGGAGGCTGAGGCAGGAGAATGGCATAAACCCGGGGGGCGGAGCTTGCAGTGAGCTGAGATTTGGCCACTGCACTCCAGCCTGGGTGACAGAGCAAGACTCCGTCTCAAAAACAAACAAAAAAAAATTAGCCGCACATGGTGGTGCATGCCTGTAATTCCAGCTACTCATGAGGCTGAGGCAGGAGAATCGCTTGAACCCGGGAGGCAGAGGTTGCAGTGAGCCGAGATCGTGCCATTGCACTCCAGCCTGGGCAACACAGGGAGACTTCAGAAAAGAAAAGAAAATTAAAGCTGATGGAAAACAGGAAGAGAAGATCTTCAGGAAAGGAAAGTAGGAAAGATCTAGATAAAGAACATATATCAAAATGATAAAGTTAATAAAGAAACAGAACAGGTAGTTTAATTAGATCATAGGAATGTTTGACAAGACGGAAAATAAAAGTCAAAGATATCCAAAACTCTGAGAAAAATAGCTTAAATCTTCTGAGGCAAAGTGCATCTTTAAAAATCTTTTTTTTTTTTTTTTTTTGAGATGGAGTCTCATTCTGTCACCCATGCTGGAGTGCAGTGGCACAATGTTGGCTCTGGTTTAACCTCTCTCCTCTCCATTTTAGCTCATTCTCCTGCCTCCTTCTTGACTGCTGGGACTACAGGTGTGTGCCACCACCACTAATCCTAACACTTTGGGAGGCTGAGGTGGGAGGATCACTTGAGGTCAGGAGTTTAAGACCAGCCTGGCCAACATGGTGAAACCCTTTCTCTGTAAAATACAAAAATTAGCTGGGCACAGTGGCACTTGCCTGTAATCCCAGCTACTCTTGGGGAGAGCTGAGGCAGGAAGATAAACCATGAACCTGGGAGGCGGAGGTTGCAGTGAGCAGAGATCGCACCACTGCACTCCAGCCTCGGCGACAGAATATAAGACCCTGTCACCAAAAAAACAAAATAAATAAATAAAGTAAATAGGCCGGGTATAGTGGCTCACACCTGTAATCCCAGCAGCATTCTGGGAGGCGGCTGAGGTGGAGATCACCTGAGGTCAGGAATTCAAAGACTGGGCTGGCCAACATGCTAAAACCATCTACTAAAAATACAAAAATAAAAATAAAAAAATTAACTGGGCATGGCGCTTCACGCGCATGTCTCATCCCAGCTACTTGGGAGGCTGAAATTGCAGTGAGCCAGTGGCACCATTATACTCCCAACCTGGGCGACGGTGAGACTCTGTCTCAAAAAAAAAAAAAAAAAAAAAAAAAAAGCAGAAATAAAGTAAGTACAACAAAAAGATGCTTGCTCTCATGGGTAAACAACTCTGCACTGGATCTCAAACAAAAAAAAAAAAAAAAAAAAAAGCAGAAATAAAGTAAGTACAACAAAAAGATGCTTGCTCTCATGGGTAAACAACTCTGCCACTGGATCTCAAACATGATAGTATATTAGATTCATCTTCATTGATTCTGAACACACAGATGACTGGGCCCCAACCCTGGAGTTTCCAATTTACTAAATCAAATAGGGGAAGAGGCCGGATGCCGTGGCTCACGCATGTAATTCCAGCACTTTGGGAGGCCAAGGTGGGCAGATCATCTGAGGTCAGGAGTTCGAGACCAGCCTGGCCAACATGGTGAAACCCCGTCTCTACTAAAAATACAAAAATTAGCCGGGCATGGTGGTAGTCACCTGTAATCCCAGCTACTCAGGAGGCTGAGGCAGGAGAATCGCTTGAACTTGTGAGTTGGAGGTTGCAGTGAGCCGAGATCGTGCCATTGCACTCCAGCCTGGGGCACAAGAGCGAGTCTTCGTCTCGAAAAAAAAAAAAAAGAATAGGAAGGAAGATGTATATTTCTTACAGCACAAAGCTGATGCTGCTGATGATGTTTCCAGGATTACCACAGTAAATTAAAACATACTACAGCAGGGACTGTTACTTGGGAATGTCTCTGTTATTCCCCACTGTATTCAGAATTGACAAGCAAACATGTAACATACATCTGCTCTATAACAGGCTACAAGAAATGATGCTAGTGTTTATTTTTAATTAATTAATTTTTTTAGACAAAGTATCACTGTGTCGCTCCGGCTGGAGTACAGCGGTGCAATCTCGGCTTACTGCAACTTCTGCCTCCTGGTTCAAGCAATTCTCCTGTCTCAGTCTCCCGAGTAGCTGAGATTACAGGTGCCCGCCAAGAAGTCTGCCTAATTTTTGTATTTTTAGTAGAGATGGGGTTTCACTATGTTGGCCAGGCTGGTCTCAAATTCCTGACTGCATGTGATCTGCCCGCCTTGGCCTCCCAAAGTGCTGGGATTATAGGCGTAAGCCACCACAACTGGCCTAGTCTTCATTTTTAGGATTTTTTTTTTTTTTAGATGGAGTCTCGCTCTGTCGCCCAGGCTGGAGTGCAGTGGCATGATCTCGGCTCACTGTAAGCTCCACCTCCTGGGTTCATGCCATTCTCCTGCCTCAGCTTCCTGAGTAGCTGGGACTACAGGCACCTGCCACTACGCCCACATTTTTTTTTTTTTTTTTTTTTTTTTTTTTTAGTAGAGATGGGGTTTCACAGTGTTAGCCAGGATGGTCTCCATCTCCTGATCTCATGATCCGCCCACCTCAGCTTCCCAAAGTGTTGGGATTACAGGCATAAGCCACTGCACCCAGACTAGAATTTTTTTTTTTAAGAGACAAGGTCTCACAATGCTGCCCATGCTAGTATCAAACTCCCAGGCTCCAACGATTCTCCCACCTCAGCCTCCCAAGTATCTGGGACTACAGGTGCAGGCCACCATACCAAGCAAACTGATGTTACTCTTACCCACGGAGGCCAGGTTCATGTAGTTCTCCAGCATCACATCTCTGTAAAGGTATTTCTCAGTTGTGTCCAGTAAAGCCCACTCCTCCGGAGTGAAGTCCACAGCCACATCATCAAACGTCACTGAATCCTATGTTATACACATGCTGGTTTGAGCCAATGAACACTTCCACCAATGCTCACTGGAGAATGAGGAAGGGGAACCTTAAACTCACTTATACGTGGTTCTCAGGTCTCCCATGATCTACTCCAGGGTTTAATGTCTCAGAAGCTCTTGTGTCTAAACACTCAAGGGTGACCTCCGACAGGCATATGCCTTAAACAGCACTTAAAAAAAATTTTTTTAATCTTTTTTCCTGATCTATTTATTTTTAACCTTTTAATATTTGCGTTTTTAAATTTTAAATTTTATTTTTATTAGAACAGTACTTCCTTCCTAAACATGAATTTTTATCTATCTAGCATCTATCTATCTATCTATTCAATCTGTTTATTTATTTATATATAAAGACAGGGTCCCACTGTGTCACCGAGGCACAACTGCTGCTTACTGCAGCTTCCATCTCCTGGGCTGAAGTGCTCCCTCTCACCTCTGTCTCCTGAGTAGCTGGAATTACAGGCATGAGCCACTGCAAACTGCTTACACTTTATCTCAGCACAACCAGGTTAGGAGCTCTTCCTGTCCCATTGGTCTCTATGTCACCGAGGCACAACTGCTGCCACTGCAGCTTCCATCTCCTGGCTGAAGTGTGCTCCCTCTCACCTCTGTCTCCTGAGAGCTGGAATGAAGTGGTGCATGAGCCACTGCAACCGCTTACACTTTATCCCCAGCACAACCAGGTTAGGAGCCTTTCCTGTCCTATTGGTCTCAGTGCAGTACACTCTGAGCACACTGCAGATACCTGATAAATGCTGATGAGTAAACATACATTATTTTGAGGTGACACTTTCACTTTTATCATCTATCAGAACCCAGCAATATAAGAGCATGCAGAAAGTTGGTACCCAAGAAAGTCAAGCTTAATTAGTAATTACTGAGATATTGGAGATGACTTTCAACTTAACACTTTATGATAGGAGATTGCCATCTCCTCGTGTGAAATTCATCCTTGGGGGACTCAGTCCTTAGTAAGGCTTCATTTGCTCTATAAGAAAACTCGAGATGAGTCTGTCCAGACGGAAATGTGTGTCATTTATTGGATGTAAGCATGTCATTTTGTACAACAGTACATTTTCTGGGTTTACCTGATAACCATTTGCCAGTGGTCCTCCATCATCCTTTCACCGCTCTTTCTTCTGCAAGGCATAAGACTTGGTTCCTGAAAACTCCTAGTGGAAAAGTAAGGACATGAGAATGGAGCTGCCCATCCTTCCCACATTCTTATGCCTAGAAGTCATTCCATCCTAGCTTGAAATTCCATATATTCTGGCACACTAGAAACTATACACACACAACACTGCCACGAAATGCCAGTAGTAGTCCTGTGTCACTTAGACTCCAGAAAAGCAGATGGGGCCGGTTGCCTGTTGGGTAAAGGGTACAGTTTCATTCTTACAAGGAACTTACACTTTGGAAAATGTACTCTCTCTCTGCCTAGTTGCAACACTGCCGTGCTTATGGCATTCAAGGCAAACGAACCAGGCTGAATTTGTTACATCCTGGCTGCACAGTGGCTCATGCCTGTAATCCCAACATTCTGAGTGCCACAGGCAAATCAGTTGAGGTCAGAATTAGACACCAGATCATCGGCATGATGAAACCCCATCTCTACTAAAAATACAAAATTATGGAGGCTGAGGCAGATAATTGCCTTAATCAGGAGGCAGAGGTTGCAGAGTCGAGGATCACGGTACTGCACTCCAGCCTGGGAGATACAGCGAGACTCCGCTCAAAACAAAACAAACAAACAAAATTAGCCAGGCCTGGTGGTGCATGTGTCAGGTCCCAGCTACTTGGGAGGCTGAGGCAAGACAATCACTTGAACCTCGGAGTGAAGTGGAGGTTGCAGTGAGTCATCATGCCCACTGTATTTCTAGTTTGGGTGATTGAACAAGATTCTGGTTCTAAAATAAATAAATAAATAAACAAACAGTATTTGTTAGGTTTCATTTAATTTTTCTAAAATAATTAGTTAGAGAGCTGTAAGAGCCAGTTTGAAGCCATTGGATTTTAGTAGGTGACCTAAAGCAATCTCTGAAAAAGAGCATCACCAAGTGACTTACCACGGACAAATCAATGACTGCTATGCCTAATGACAGAAAGAAGGTAATCCCTTCCTTGATGCCAAGATCAATTCTCAGGACAGCTGAGAGGAATCTATAGGTGATAGAGGTAATCTCCATTCTCAAGACAGTATTATTGGCATCCTGTTCAACTATCAAACAACACATGAGCCATCAGTCATCAAACATTATGCCTGAGGGCTGCCTCTGCAGGATATATGTTGTGATGTGAAGGCCAACAAAAATTGCCCACCTGTAAAGATACTGCCACCAGCAATAAAAGTATTAATATTAAATAACTGACATTTACCAGGACTGATATGCCAGATGTAGCTCTAAATAGCTTATATATACATGCTGTAACTAACTAAACCATCCTTCCCAATAGCCACTGGCTATGTCCATCTATCTATCTATCTAATGCATCTATCTTATCTATCTATCTATCTATCTGAGACAGGGTCTTACTCTGTTGCCCAGGCTAAAGTGCAATGGCACCAACACGAGCCTCCTACAGACCTAGACCAGGGCTCAAGATCCCTCCCACCTAAGCCTCCTGAATAGCTTTAGATCACAGGTAGGCATTATCACTCCTCTTCTTTTCTTATTATTATTATTATTATTTTGAGACAGTCTCACTCTGTTGCCTAGGCTGAATGGTGGGCGCGATCTCACTTTACTGCAACTCTGCCTCCCAGGTTCAAGGCGATTATCAGGCCTCAGCCTCCTGAGTAGCTGGGATTGCATGCACCAGGATGCCTGGCCAATTTTGTACTTTTAGTAGAGACGGGTTTTGCCATGTTGGCCAGGCTGGTCTCGAACTCCTGGGCTCAAACAATCCTCCTGACTTCAGCTCAAAGTGCTGGGATAATGAGCATGAGCCACCATGCCTGGCCCATTACCTCTATTTAATACTGAAAACCTACATCCAAACAACCTGTAATTGCCCTGATATTTGTCCCTAGAGCCTGATCTCCTGTGGATGCTGTTACTCCTCAAAATGACTCAGAAGATTTGGTCCAGAGCTGCACAGAAATGTCCTGTAGTCACCAGCCATGTGTGTTATTAACTTCATTATGTAACGCAGATAACTGAAAACAGAATTTAAAATTTTCAAAAGTTGGCCAGTGGTGGCCCAGCACCATCAATCCCAGCACTTTGGGGACCGTGGCATAGATCACCTAAGGTCAGGAGTTCAAGACCAGCCTGGGCCATAACATGGCAAAACTGTCTCTACTAAAGATACAAAAGTAGTCGGGCGTGGTAGCACTGCCTGTAATCCCAGGCACTGGAAGGTTGAGGCAGGAGAACTGCTTGACCCAGGAGGCAGAGGTTGGGGAGGTTGCAGGAGCTGGAGTGCAGCCTCTCGGAACTGGCTGCGCAGGGAGGACTGATAGTCCTGAGAAGGAGCAATAGGGAACTGGCTGGTGGAGGCTCTCAGCAGACGGCGCGCAATCATTCCTTTGCCGCCCCCTGCCATTCTGCGAACCGCCGCTGCGGCAGAACTTACCATGAAGGCGCTGATCGCCACCATAGCGGCGAAACCCCTTAACCGAGAGGAGCCAGCGCCGGAAAAGGTGGCGGAAGCCGCGCTGACGTCACTTCCGCTCGAGCCTCTGGCCGGGCGGGGCCTGTGAGCCTGAGTCAAACACAGAAATTCTGGGTTTCTTCCCGGGTGGGTGTGAGGGAGGCCTTGGGTTACAGCAGGGAGGAGGATGAAATAGATCCAGAGAAACATTGAGGTTAAAAACCGGGCCTCCGGACGGAACTGTGGCGAGAGGTGGGCCTGTACTCGGGGGGCGGTTTAGAGGTGGGACCGGCCTGCAGGATGGTGCAGGCGGCTGGGTTGGGCTGGAAGGGCGGGATGAGATTGGGACGCATCCCAGGGATGCTCCCCAAAGCTTTTTCCGGGAGAGCGCAGTGGCTCACCAGCCTGTAATTCCTGCACTTTGGGAGATCAAGGCAGGCAGGCAATGAGTCCGCTGGGAACTTGGTGCCAGTGGCAAAATCAACGACAAAGACCAGCAAGGCTAGCCATTTTCATAGAATGGGTGCCACTCAAGCAGTTTTGCTACCTTATACTAATAACAAAAGAGAGAGAAGATGAACTGACATGTCCACCTTACTGCTGTGTCCATCTTCCATTGGCCGAACAGGACCTCACCCTTCTATATTTTCTGACTGGATTGGCTAGCAGCCAGAACTTCCCACAAGAGGCAAAGGCAGAGGAGAGAACAAAGAACAGAGGAAATAACTTGTGGACTGCCAGAGAGGCAAAAACACTTCTAATAAAGGAATAGGCCATGACCTAATGCTGCTTGACCAGTTCAGGCATGCCTGGCAAATATCTTAGGCTAAGATGAGCTGAACATAGAGATATTGATTTTTATTGGCTGGTAGAATTGTGGTAACACACAAGATCTTTCAGAAATTGGCTTGAAGAGGGATTGGTTTATTTTCAGGACTGGGAGGAAAGTCCCTTTGAAGAGGAACAGCTATTTCACTTTTTCATGTGTCCAAGAGTTTATATAATTGTCATAAAGAAAAGACTCTGTCTCTATTTATGTACATATATGTACATACATATATGGTGTGTATACACATATATGTTTGAAATGCTTGTTCCTTGGTGCCATGAAGAAACAGCACGAACATTAATTAATTACTCAGCAAGGACATTTTTTAGTTCCACAGAAAGGGCACACTCACCAGCAGTTTAAGCAATGAGAGTACACTCAAAACAAAGGAGACAGGGCTGTTTATAACCTGATGTCGACTCCTACTGCTGTATTCGGTTTCCAAGGCTGGAACGGGACCTCTACATTCTATATTTGTCCTGATTGGCTAGCAACTGAACTTTTAAAAAGAGGCAAAGGTAGAGGAGAACAAAGGAAGATAAAGAATTTGTGGAATGCTGAGAAGGGTCAAAACACCTTCAAATAAGGAAAAGGAACGGCTATGAATTTAATGCTTGTTTGACCAGTGGCATGCTAGGCAAATATTTAGACGAAATTGTGTGAGCCAAGGTTACAAAGGACATTGAGTATCTTGATAACGGCTAGCAGATATTTGAGAATGTTAGCACAGGTCTTTGAATAAATTTGTTTCAAGAGAGTTATTATTTATTTCTAATTAAATGGCTAGAATGTCTTTGAAGAGTAATCCTCTACTTTAGCTTTTATATAAATATGTGCTTGTTTGCATGTCTCTCTCATGTTCCTAGAGCCTTTCCATGATTCTTCCACATTATAAACTCTACAGTGAAATTGGCATGGTCTATCTCTTCCATCTCATTGGCTTTTCAGGCCTTATTTCTTCATTCTTTTCTTTTAAACCTGCTGATTGATTTGTGTTTTCTTTCTTGGCTGCTTGCTTGTTTATGCATAGTTTGATCTCAGCTCACTGCAACTTCCGCCTCCCAGATCTGGGGCGATTCTCCTGCCTCTGCTCCTTGCAGTAGCTGGGATCACAGCCTGT